GGTCGGGAAATTAGGATAAAAGGGGGGCTGCGTCCCCCAGCAATTGGAGAGACCCCCCAGGGATATGCCCGGTGGACTCTCCCTTTATTCGAATAAAGTTTTAGGACTCCTCTGTCTCCTTTTGGACATTCAGTTCTTGACAGCGAGATTTTCCGCACGCTATGGAGACAGACAAGCAAGGCCATGTGAGATGTCTCGCTAGAAGCTCCTGTAGTGTTGCTGTGGTGTCGGGGAACTGCTCTGAGCTCTGCACTGCACACACTCCCTTGTTTCACCACAGTCACAGGTGTTGCCCTCTAGAAGATTTCTTACTTGCTTTTCTGTGTTTCATTTGGTCTTCCCCATACAGATGTGTTTTTATATCCTGCTTTGGGATGAACTAACAGCTTTTTTTTTGTTTTCCCCTCTGATTGGAAGATTGATGGGGAAGCAACCATCTCTTTTCATCCTGATGTTGCTCCATAGACTGCATCATTCTCATAATCATTGATCAAGGCAACCATGCAGCTCAGGAGCAAGGTGACCTTTTAGTGCCAAATCTGCGCTCCCCTGATCCTCTTCGGGTTGGACAGGGAGCCAGTCTCCTGTTATAAACTTATGAGACTGCCAGGGAGATCAACCGGGGCCATTAGGAAGCTCCACATGGATAAAGGAGGGAAGGACGTGGGCAGGCTGAGCTGATGTCCAGCAAGCCCAGCTGGGCCACTTGCGTCCTTTGTGTTCATCTTGCATTTGACCTGTTTGTTGCTGGCTTTCTTCAATTTGATTTTTGTATGCAGAAAAGGGCCTTCAAGCCTCTCAGAGGAGGCAGGGGGGAGGCAGGACACTGGGGAATCCGTATCTATCTCAGGTCATGACAGTTATTGCAGAGGTTGATGTTATTTCTACAGTACCTACTTTATGGTGGCTTTGCAGTGTTGAAATTTCAGCCACTCTACATTGAGTAATCTCCCCGCTTGTTACTAAAGAGTCAGTCTGTCTCTCTTCCTCTCCCCACCCTGAGTTTCAATTTCCTCTTAATTCTCTCTCTAGACAGCTGTTGAGGCCGTTGCCTCTCCTGTGGCAATGCGGTTTTGCTGATGAAGCCTGTTGTCTCTGTCCCTCTTACAGAAGGATTTCACCATGCGGGAGGAGTTGCAGCAGCGGGACGTGGAGCGCTGGCTGGGCTTCATCACCTTCCTCTGCGAAGTCTTCGGCACCATGAGGAGCAGCACTGGAGAGCCCTTTCGAGTCCTTGTCTGTCCCATTTATACCTGCCTCAGGGAGGTAATGTCTTCAAAGGTTTTCCTTATCTACCCGTTGTCCAAGCTGTTGAGTTACAGTAATGGTTTCTTGATACTTGCTTTATGAATATGAATGCTTCTCACCCTAAGAGTATCTGTGTCTGCATGGACAGCTGGCTCGTCCTGCCTCTTGTGATTCTGCTGGCTAAAAACGTTTGTTCCAAGACCCCTTTGTTCCAGGTTGGGTTTGCAAATTCCAACATGGGAAAAAATTCCCCAGCAAGGGAGCATTATGGTTCTTATGAGAACATGAAGCCAAACCACTAAGCTGTCCAAGGCAGCCGAATGTCCAGAAGCATTTCCTAGTGGAAAGATGTGTCCAGGAAGAAAAGGAGGGATAGCTTTTGTTAGGCACGAACGTGGTGCCATTTGTCATTGAAGAGGATTCCTGCCCAGAGGAATGTACATTCTGAACAGACAAAACAGACTGAGGGGAGGAGAGAAATAAAGAAATGAAATGGCTTGGAGAACAGAGCAGGGGAAAGGTCCCAGATGGCATTTCTCCCAGCCTAGTGTAGTAGAGACCCAACCCTGGCAATGGGGTGGGAGCATTTCAGTAACTTGAACTCCTGATGATGGTGAGCATGGTCCAAGCTGGTGGTAGAAAACTAGATGGAGACAAATATAAAATGAAACTCAAGTGTTATTGTCCAAAAGAACAAGAGAGAGATCTTCACTATCCAGTCTTAGAGGTGTTTTTGTCTTTTGCTGCTGACTGAAGAAGACTTTCTAAGAAAATCTGTCTTGTCACCCAAGAATGGAGCTGTGAATCTCAAATTGTCAATAGTGCTTCTGTCGGACCATAAATAGCTTGCTGCAAAATAAGTTCTGCTCTAGACTTTGGGCAAAGAAGAGATGAGGAGAAGGGAAAGAACTACCAGTAATGACTTTTTGCGCACATGGAAAGTTTTATCTAAACGCAAACACATTATAAACATTTTGTCTTCACAGTGCTCACTGTGAGTAGAGTTCACAGACAGTGACTGTAACAGTGAAAAAGTCTCTGGGAATCTTGTTTAGGCACAAATATCCAAGAGAGGAAAGAGAGGCTAAGAATAGCGAAACTTCCCCAAAATCCCTACCCACAGCAGTGTGTGTCACCTCCCTGGGGAGATCTTGGCTCCTAATAAAGTCCCCATTCCCCTTGACTTCCCATCCAAGTCATAACAAAATCCAGGCCTGGTTCTCCCACAGTTTTTCTCTGCCCACTCCTGTCTGCCCTCCGTGACATTCTGTTCCCTCCCTGCCATCCTGCCATCATGCTAGGACGTGGGGACTGGATAGCAATCTGAAGACATGTAGAAGGACATGTGGACAGCAGTGGATTAATTTTTTGTGTTGGTGATGTTTTTTTGCTATAAGTAACTTTAGAAAGAAGTAACTAACATCAAAAGTTGTGCATGAAATTGCTTCTTAAAAGAACATCTCTGCTCCTCAGCAGGACAGCTCTGTCCAAATGCTTTTTTTTCTTAGAGAATAAGATTATGCCTTAACTGATGTTGGTGAGTCTTTCTAGCTGTCCTGTCCTGAGATGTTTGATCCATGACTGTCCTGCTTTGCAGGATTGTGACCTTGACTCACACTGTTCCTGTTCAGTGGCTCTGGGTTGGGTTCTAGCACTGGTGCTGTTTTTCACTACGGTCAGCTAATCCTGTCTCCCGGGGCCTGATCTGTGCGAATGAGACCAGCTATTTGTCCTCAGTGATAGGTGGCAAATGTTAAAATGGTTGCAAGAACTGAGCCAGCAGGATAGCAATAATCTGGATTTATTTTGAAAAACTAAACGGTGCAAGATGTAGTGGGTTCTTTACATACAAAATAAATTCGCACACCACATCGAGAACTCCTGGCAGCTTGGGATAGTCTAGGAGATGGCCTTGAGCTCTTTCCACTGTGTCCAAGAAGACAGGGATTATTTTTGTAGTCCAGCCCCAGCAGATGTTCCATGAGACACTGGAAACACTATAATCGCTCAGTGTTGAAAGGGTCCCACTTCAGCATCCTTCGCTCCTTGTCTCCTAGTCTAGTCTCTCTCCTGGCCCCTCCAGCCTGACAGGAGCTCGTTCAGCTCCGTGCATCAGTAGGGATGGGGAACTTACTGGGTTGATGCTCTGCTCCTTCAGTGAGTTGCGCTGGTTCACCAGAAGACCAAAGCCAATGCAAGAGGAGTGGACAGCAAGGGGAAGGGAGAGGAGGTAGGGGAAGCAGCACTGTCCCTTTTGGCCATTAGATTATTCCTGTTCAGACAAGAAACGCTACTGTAACTTAAGTTAAGCCATCCCCATTGTTTGTCTCATTTTAGCTACATAAAGCTCATATTTGGAGCCTAGGCAGCTTGAGGTCCTTTTTAACATGCATTTGATGCATACTTGAGAAATGATGTGAAGAGGAACTGAGAAATGCAGCTAGGGTCGGGGAGGCAGATGAGAGCTCCCCAGGTCTCCCCGTCTTCATCTAGGGACGTTAAAGCCTGGCATAGCACTGTAGGAATTGTGCTTGAGATCTTCAGAGCTGCCTGGGGTATTTGGGCACGAATCGTGTATTTAAAACCTGTGATGAGTTCTGTGAAAGGCGTGAGCTGGGCTGGTATCTCCTCTGCCATCTGCTGGGGCAGGACTTTGTGTCCTGGTGGCCTGTCTGCCTTGGGAATGACCGGCAGCCATGGGAATTGTTCCGCTTGCCTCGGGACAGGTTTGCATAGCTTAGCAGCTCTCATCACAGGGCTTTTTTTTCCCCTCCTTCCTGCTATTCAGCATGTGTGTGCGCGCGTCTCTGCCTCCTTGGATGGCCCTCTACAAATCCTCTCTGCCTCCTACAAAAGCGCACGCTTAGTGCTCTGCCTCCATCCACCCATCCTTTGGCAATAAATCATTATTAGGGGTGAGATAGCATCTCTGTCTCTGCCTGTCCTTTCAGCCTGTCTTGCTTTTTAGTGTCTCTGTCTCTGTTTTTTTTTTTTTTTCCCTTTTCCTTTACAGCTTTGGCAGACTCAGCCAAAGGTCAGCAAGGGAGTGAGCAAGAGGAAGGGGAAAGTTGCATGATGACTGAGGCAGGAATGTCTCTTCCCTTCCCCCAGCAAGACTTCCTCCACCAGGCTCCTTTCCACTCCTGCACCTGGAAAGGTTTATTAACATCTCCTACCACTGCCGGGGCTGGGCTGGGCTCGAAGGGGCCATGGGGAGGAAGCCAAGATGCCAGTGAAGCCCTTGGTGCTGGGCGGCCCGGTGCACGGTAGGGAAGACTTGGAGGTCACCACCACGGTGGCTTTCCTTGCAGCAGGGGAAGCAGCTGTGCAAGGGAAGGCAATGAGTAAGTCCAGGGTTTTGCTGCATGTCAGCTTCGTCTGTCCTGCTTGGACTCAGCAGGGGAGCTGACCTTGGGAAAGGTGAAGCGAGGTGGGAACAGGCACCAGGAATGTGCCTGGGGTGCTGAGCAGCAAGGCGGGTGTAATTTATTGTTTGCAGAGTGGTCTGGATGGATTGGTTTTGTGGTTCAGTGGCCAGCCTGAAAAATCAAAACAGAAGTTCATTTCAGGCTACGCCAGAGTGGTAAATACTCAGGTTTGTTGGTTAGTCGAGTGGAAATTCATCGTAGACAGGATGAGACGTATCCCTTGGGAACCAGGCAAGCCGCTGCACTCTGGTGTCAGGCATGGGACTGGGTTTCTCCTCATAGCAAAGGAAACTTGGGTCAGAATTGTAGCTTCACTCAGGTGCTTGGGCAGCATTTCAGAAGCCAAGGGAACAGCCATGTCTCTTTGCAGAAAAGTGGCCCCTACCTGGCATGGGAAGGGGCCTGAGCGCAGAGTCACCCACTGCAGGAACCAGAGGGCAAGGCTCAAAGTACTGAATTTTCAGAACCCTTCTGAGGTCTTGGGGTGAGCAGCATATAGACAGGATGGGAGATGTATTCACAAAAAGGTAAAGAGGGTCAAAAGCAAGGTTTGGGGCAACTATGTAGTTTGCCAAGAAAAGGAGGGGCAGCCCTGCTTAAAAATGGCTTGCACAGCACAGTGGATTTATGTGACACTCTGGTTTGAAACACATTCGCTGCTTGGAGGACTATGTAGTTTAAGTTGGACAAGGAAAATGGGACACCCAAACCCAAACTTGTTATTAGCAGGAGCTGGGAGTTATGGCAAGGAGGGCACTGAAAGTGGAGAAGAGAGCCTCTTTGCAGATGAGAACCAGAGGACTATCGCAATCCTCAAATCTGGGGAGTTTGGGAAAAGCAGAAAAGTTAAATATAAATAATAAAAAAAGAACTTTCCTCCTATTCATCTCCCTAAGCTTCAGGGAATCCACAGCAACGTGGAAAAGGGCATTGTTCCTTGGGAAAGGCTTTCCCTTGGGGACATGTGGCCTTTCAGTCTGAGCACAGCGGGCCTGGCCCTTGGCTGCTCAGTTGCAGGAAGGTGCTCCAGCCTTGGTTCCCTGGCGTAGGACTGCAGTCCACACTGCTGGCAAGCTCATCCTGCACCGTGGTCCTTGCAGAACTTATTATCTGGCTCAATGAAAAGGCTTTTAGCATTTTTAGGAAATTGCCCTGACTCCCTTGCTTGATGGCCTAAGCAAGAGGGATGTCCCATTGTGTTCTCCTAGCCCTAGTCATGTACGCTCGATTGTGGCCTCACTTTAATTCACAAAGCCACACCAAATTTGTCCCTCTAAATCTCCTTCTGTCCTCTCCAGAATGCAATGGAGTTAACTTGCTGACATCCCTGCCACTCTGAAGGCACCGTGCTGTAACCAAGCGCTGAGGGCCACGTTCAGCTGTGCTGTAAAACCCTGCTGACTTTTCAGCATCAGTGCCCATCCTTGGCCTGCGTACTTCAGTTTGTGTGTCCTTAAAAAAAAACAGCTGAAAACGAGGGTCTTCAGTTGTTTGTGCACACCCATATTTCTTCCATATTTCTTATTTCTTTGTGGCCCTTCAGCAGAGTCAGCAAGTAGAGGAATAGAAAATAGGTTAAGATTGAGGCCC